GAAGATATCATAGGTGCGAAGTGATGCATCACGAACGTTGATATTGCTTCCAATGGTTGCTGCCTTCTTTGTCAGATCTGTGCTGTTATCACACCCGATTGAGATGCCCAGTTCAAAAGTAGAAACTAGATTCAGATCATTGATAGCCAAAGCTACTGAAGTTTCGCGAATTGGTCTGCAAAAGTCCTTATAAGAACTCGATTATGCGGCTCGGCTTGAGCTCAGGGCTCCCCGGGGCCGCTTGGTGTAGTGGTTATCACGTCTGCTTTACACGCAGAAGGTCGCCGGTTCGATCCCGGCAGTGGTCATTTTTCCTGTGTGGAAAATCTTTAGACATACTTTTCACAGTTTGATCCATATCCTAAAGTGTTCCTAAGACTCTCTTCGAGTTTATCCTTATCGAAGAGTTTAGGCTGATTTTCAATAGTACTGAAAGTGAGCGATTCTACAAAACCATCAGAAACAACAAGTAAAGCTGCTGGATTAAGCTTTCTCAAAGCCTAAGACGAGAATGAAATGTTATAGCTCGGGTTATCAACAAACCTTCACAGCATCTCCAGGTTTCAATAATGGAATGATCAGCAAAGCTACTTGAGAATCTAATTCAAAATCAGAGGAACAAGTCAAATGAGCCAGTTCTCGCAAAGCCTCAGAAGCGCTATAAGAAATATGGTTACCTGACACTAACAATATCTTTTACCTTAGTGAAGTGCCCACAACAGCGATCGCTATGTCTCCGTTTCCACGACGGATCATGTAAGCATCTTCTTTACCGCTACCACAGGGATGCAGAGTAACATCACGACGAGTACGACTTTCCTCCATATTCTTAATGAGAACGGATTCCGATTCCAGTCCGCTGTGATCGAAGGTTAGCTGAATCGAAAGTTAAGACGCGTCATTTTGAAAATACTTACCACATGCTCACCGGGAGGCAGGATTCTCCAATATTCACCAGCAGTGGTAGTATGAATAGGCTTACCTAAATGTAAACTTGGCTGTGAATGAACTAGAAGGGAAACTAGCCTTGTTCAACATAAACTGTTACGTTTGAGAGAGGATTTCCTTTTTCGTCAGTTACCAAACCGTAAATAGACGATTCAATCAGCTCCAGGAAGGCAAAGAGCGACATTTGGTGATCTTTCCATAACCTAGAGAATCGAACTTTCAAAAGTGATAAGTGATTTCACTTACTCAGGAAGCATATCATCAGTTGGAAACTTGAAGCAACCCATTTCAATGGTAATCTCGAAGGCATTTGTATGTTCATACTGCCAATCTTGCATTCCTCCAGCCAAATGATACCTGTTGAACATTTCTTTGAACTAGAGAGATACTAATGATTACCATCCAGCTCCGTTTGTGATTCCATTGATGAAAGAATCTCCGTCACTACTCAATCCGCATCTTCTACCCGTTTTCCACATGGTTGTGTGAGCTCTAGCGTATCGATAAGCCATTTCAACAAAGAGTCTGTCGTCTACACTCTGAAAAGAATATGATAGGTTCGATATATCAATTAAGCACAACATACAGGTGAGTATATATCTTGTCCAGTCGTTGAATCATCGAAAGGGTAATTAGCAACCAAAGAACCTTAAAGGTAAAAATGGATTGTAAACGGATTACAGCTGAACATTACCTCCGTGGAAATTGGCACTGAGGACGAAAGGATAATCTTGGAGCCATTTCATAACTACATCAACTTCTTTTTCAGTCTCTGATCCCCCCGACGCCTAAGAGTTAAACCGTTTTCAAGTTCTCAACACACATTTCGATATTACCTCACGATGTTGAGGCCATTTAGCAGGGAAATTTCTGTTCAAATCAACATTATTGTAATTGGAACGACCCTATAAGTGATAAGCTTAATGATGATATGAAGTGGAGACTAACAGCGTATCCAATACGATCCCCAGCATAGCCCATTTCATATCCATCAGGATTCATAGATGGCATGATATGCAGGCGATTGTTCTTCACGAAGTTAGTAATGTAATCGTTTTTGCCAAAGTTTTTACACAAGATATCGATGAAATAGAGGAGAGTTTCGCGACCGACAACCTAAAAACTGTTTTAGTGAGAGGGTTTTCAATGCTTCTTCACTTCATTCCCGTGCATGTTCCCCACATACTTCAATTCAGGCTCTAGCAATTCGTGTTCTCGTGGATTGTCTGAAACCACAATGACCCACAAGTCTCGACCACGAACAGACTTTCCGGCTGTGTATAGCCATGTGATATTAGGATAATTTAAGCTGATTTGCTAAATTACAAAGTTCTTGTTTGGACTGAATGATAGCAGACCTTCAGCCATGCAGTCATGTCGTTATAATTATGATTTTTAATGTTAGATTTGTCTACGTCCTCAAACGAGCCGATTCTGAATATGATTAACATGCGAATATGGAGTTTGTGCTTTCTCTTACTTCTTAAGCATGTCTTCAGGTGAGGGAAAAAGGGAAATGTTATGTTTTTGATCTCCGAAATAGGATGTGAGGGCATCGCGCTGAATGAATCTGTTTAGAGCGTGAGGAAAGCCATATGACTTACGTCTTCAAGGAATTTCTCTCGTTCACTGGCTACGATTGGACTATTCCAATCCATTTGAGCAGATGTAGCCCATATGAGACATACGAGGCATATGAGGTGGAAGGACAACAAACCACCTGTAGGACTCATATTCTATAAGAGAAAGTTATCATCTTTAGAGTTAGCGGACAGGCTTGATAAGCTGGCAACGTTTATTTAAAATAATAAAAAAGATAACGATTTTGACAGTTCTCATATCGATTTCTCGCACATCAGATTGTAATAACTTATTGTTTCCAAGAAATTAGGCAAATATAGTATTGAGTATTTGAATAAACATGCTCCAAGAGCAACTTGGAGGGTTAGCTCAGACTGTTCACCAGGTTAGATGTTCATGATGGCGTGATTACGGTAGGTGACTGTACAGTTCTGTCAAGACGTCAAGTATACGAGAACTTAAGAACCTTGAACTTTTGGCGTTGAAATGGTTATATAGGTTGATGGTATTCTTTCGGAATGTCAAAACTTCAAAGAGTAGTAAGTATAGAGTGTTATAAAGAAATTAATCGAAATATGAGAATCATAGCGGAACAAACAGAGATATGGATCTTCTGCACAAGCTTGTTTCAAAAGCTTTTTCGTAGATATTGAAAAGAAAGCAAAAAATAGAATCGAATGTTTCGATAATCTTCGATCAACTTTCGCCTGAATAAGCGAAAAAAAGCTGAAAATTTGGGGGAGAAATGCGATACGTCGATGTGATGGTGGCCTACTGAAACACGTTGATTGATAGACAAATAAGGTGGGATAGTCCTCCTAATGAGAAATAAGAAAAACAAATTCCGATTGTGCAAATATTAGAGCGATAACAAGTGAGAAGCTTCATTAGAGACGTGTAAGGTCATAGAAATTTGGGAAAACATTATCTCATTGATAACAAATAACAAAAGTTTAAACAACAACGACGGGAAAACAGTTATAT